ATCAACTTCACCGGCTTCCTCAAAGCTGCAAAGAAGCATGATCGCAAGCGTGGTACTCGCTACCGTGTCAAACCTCTGCTCCAAGTGCGTCTCTCGCAACTTCCTTTCAACTCGGAAGATTACTCCCCTTTGGTCCGTCGGTTGTCCGTGATGTACTCCTTCGCCCGCGAGATCCTCAGCCAAGGTATAATTGAAGCCAAGGACCCCGTCGAGCCTCGTGTCGGTCAGGATGTCTACTCCTCGTTCAAGTTTTGGGTTCATGCAGACAACATCCTGGAGGTGAAGACCTACATCCTCCGACAACTGCCAGTCCTCATCTACAACCCTGGCACTTCCAAGGATCTCAACACCATCCCCGATGACCCCACGATTACCTCCCTCTACTTCGACAACCCGCAATTCGACCTTTACACTCAGAAGGTGGCTCGTGCCCCTGAAGCAGGCTCGCTGCGGCTGCGCTGGACCGGCAACTTACGGGATAAGCCCGCCATCTTCCTGGAGAAGAAGGTGGTCACCGATGATGATCGCAGCCGAGAGGTCAAGGTGCAGCTCAAGCAGAAGCACGTCAAGGAGTTCCTGGACGGAGAGTACCGCTTCGATAAGAAGGTGCATCGCATGGAGAACATGGGCAACGGAGACTCCGAACAAGCGGAAGCTTTCAAGAAGGATGTCGATGAGCTCCAATCCTTCATCAAGGAGCACAACCTGCAGCCCATGCTCCGCGCCAACTACACCCGCACTGCCTTCCAGATCCCTGGAGATGACCGAATCCGTATTTCTCTTGATACGAACCTGGCACTCATCCGGGAAGATGCGCTGGACGAGCTGCGCCCCTGCCGTGACGCACATGAATGGCACCGGAGGGACATTGACGATGCTGGCATGGAATATCCCTTCCAGTCCATCAGAACCGGCGAAATCGCTCGTTTCCCCCATGGCCTGCTGGAGATCAAAATCAGAGGGGATGTGGCACGTAGCGCGGAATGGGTCAAGGACTTGATGGTGTCCCATCTCGTGAAGGAAGCCCCGCGGTTCTCCAAATTCGTACATGGCGTGGCCCAGTTGTTCGAAGACTATGTCAACAGCTTCCCCTTCTGGCTCGGTGAGTTGGAGAGTGATATCAGGCGGGACCCTGAGACGGCTTTCCACGAAGAACAGGAGCGTCTGGCGAAGCGTGCCGAAGACGATATGGCTGTCGGGAGCTTCTTGGGAGGCAAGACACCGTCAACTCGACACATTGTCGGGTCCCCCGTCCAGATGTTCACCGAGACAGGGCCTTCACGTCGCCGCCAATCCTCCCAAATTGTACAGCCGATCCCTCGTCCGTCTGCCCCGACAATGTCACAACCGACCTCTGAGCGTCAGGAGCCTGCCGAACAGTCCGCCGCAGAGGCGGAACAGCCAGTTACCATGAAGCGCCTGGCTTCTCTCTTCCCCTCCTTCACTATTTCCCGTCAAAACCGCGCACCTGCAGACAATGTAGTCTTGCCCCCCGGTGTCCGTGAGCCGGGCACATGGATCAAGGACTCGGGCCCAGTCCGTGTCGAGACCAAGGTCTGGCTCGCCAACCAGCGTACCTTTATCAAGTGGCTCCACATTAGCATCCTGCTTTCTTCGCTATCTTTGGGCTTGTACAACGCAGCTGGCAAGCACAATGACATTGCTCGCGCCCTCTCCATTGTCTACACCTGCTTCGCCATCTTCGCTGCCGCCTGGGGATGGTACATGCACGAGAAGCGCGCCCGCCTGATCCGCCAACGGAGCGGAAAGGACCTGGATAACATGTTTGGTCCGATCGTGGTCTGCGTGGGTCTGGCCGTTGCCTTGGTATTAAATTTTGCGTTTAAGGTAGGCTCTTATCCCGCCTGCATCCCTACTGAAGAGCTTCAAACTAACCTCAAATCTAGTACAACTCTACCATGGAGAAGCTCCGAAACCGTGAACCTGCGGTCCTGGAGCCCCTTCCCGGGCTCAACTCGACTGCGTTCCTGAACAAGGCCAACATGTGGCAACTCGTTAACCAAGGTGGTCAGACTCTGTGAGGTGGTCCCCTTTCTTTCAATTCTTAAGGCAATATGTGGCCCCAGAATGTAGTCAGTCAAAGCCACAACCACAACTTCTGTAAAGTCAAAATAGATTGTATGAGACGGTCGACACACCTACCCCCTTTACTTGAGGTATATATGGGGTGGTGTATTGTCAATGTACGTATCCTTAGCATGTTATTATGTGATTAGATGGACTTTAGTCACGTTGACACGAGCGAGAATCATTAGAATGAAAAGTGAATATTATATTTATAGGGTACCTTTAAGTCGGTTTAGTTATTACTTTCATGCATTAGTATTTTAGCCACGATCTCATAATAAACCGTCGAGTTCTCTTCATACAAGTTATATATACAGCTGAACATGAGAATTATATACACGCATACACATACCAACCAAACGCCACGCCTTACATGAGCATCACATCATGGTATATCATATCTAAACATAACTGTCATAAACATGATTACGTATACCTCGTCCCAAGCCCACCCTGAGATTGAGACTGAGACTGAGGAAGCAACGGCGCCCGCTCAGGATCCACATCCAGAGTATCATCAGCAGGGTTATATGAAGACTCAGCTTCGGCTACTCCGACCCCTGGTACTGCGGGACGGCCGAGGAATTTGCCGTGGGGTGTCGCGTTATATAATATGCTGGGGACGTAGCCTTCGAAGGAGGTTCTGCTGGCGGTCAGTAATGATGATGATGATGATGATGATAATATGATGTTTATGGGGGAGTCCTACCGATCAAAGAACCCACAGAAGAGCCACAGATAGATCGTTCCCAGGAACGCAATGATCCACTCGAGGATACCAGCTGTTCTGTAGTCATTTGCGTCCTCAGGAATGGTGAGAGAGATAAAGGCCACGCCAAGGAAGAGTTGTATTAGGATGAGGATGGTGGAGAGGGATGCGCTATATATTTCCGGCGTGTTAGAAACGATGTGTGTATCTGGCGATGTAGTGCAGAAGAATAGAAGGGATATTGTGCACATACAATATCCTAACTCGATTACTCCTCTTCCTCCCCCAATCGTTACCCCATACCCCCCAATGGTACAGATACGACACGAAACTCAGGACCTCCGTCGAGTAAACAATCGCGGTGCCGGCCGACTGTATAGCAAGACATCCGAAGCAGATGCGAAGGAAGATGTGATGGGCAAATTTATAGCGGAATGTATCCATTACCCCGAGGAGGATGAGCGCTGTGCTGGCTGTTCCGGCTGCGAGGATTGATAGCAGGGAGATGACTTTGAGAGTGCGGGTTGTTTCTTGGTCTTCTTCATCATCATCATCATCTTCTTCTTCTCCCTCATTATGCCCGCCTCCGGTTATGTGGTTATGGACGTTTCGGTGGTTGTGGTCGCTAGCTTGAGTGTAGGTGTTGCTGTTCCCCTGGTTGTTCGAGGTCTCTTCAGAGATAACTGGACATTTCACCAAGGCGAAACCGGGCTCGTAGCGCATGACGTGCACGGCAGCTACCGTGAAGATGAATCCCACAGCGGTCATAGAAGCACCTATGAGAAAGAGGGGTTTTAGTTCGAAGGAGGCGATGTCGGAGATGAAGCTATCCTCGAAATTAATATCCATCGAGTATGTAGTTTGTAATTGAGGTAGAGAGTAACACCCACGCGACATGAGGATTACTTTGGCCTGGATAGACGGGCATTCCACGAGCCAGCCATGTCAGAAGCAAAGACGCCAGAGTCAGGAACCAGACTGAACCAGCCAAGGTAGGGAAGATATATAGTCGGGATGGAGGGATGTTGAGGATAGTGGCATGGAGAAAGGCCCAGATGGAATCATGGCAGCGAAGAAGGAACGAAATGATCATGGAGAGGAGGCAGCAAGGCAAGACTGGCTCTGGTTCCTGAGATCTGGGAGGGTAGGGGTGAGATGCAAAGAGTACTAGTAGTCAACAGGTAACAAATAATAACTATTCGATGCCATGTGGTGAGCGGGGTGCTGCCAGAAACAGTTGCTTTATTGAACTGTCGGTCTGCCACTTTCCACCGCCTGTCCTATGACGTCGAGGATCGCGCCCGTGTTGTTTTTGCTGCTTTTATAAACTATACTATTAACCTTAGTACTAAGTAAGTCACCTGCCGCCTCATAGCTCCCGCCTACTTGCCCGATAGCCGCTATTAACCGCCGTATGCCGCCCAATTAGTATATAACCCGTCTGTCTTTCGCCAAAAAGTCGACAGAACTTTCAAGGCAATATTACGGTAATTCATGCTTGTGAGGTAAGTCTAATAGATAACCACTAACCCTATAGACTGTATATACTATGTATAGTGTGTCGGTCATTACTGAACCTGTTCCGACTAAAGGCCTTCAGTATATAGTTTGAGCAACAGTGCCTTTCTACCATCAACCACTGAGGGATTGCTAGTACTGTACTTCTACTGATTAATAAGACATTCTATGTAGATGACACCATTCTGTAGACCTAGCTGTTCACACGGAAGCTGTCCGCAGGCTTCTCCGCCAATAACATGATGTTCTGTGTTTCTGGATGCTCACTAGCATCGGTCCCATGCTTACTATTAGATTCATCATGTGCTCCTGCTCGGCTTCCGACACAATATGCCGCACTTTAAGCCCAGAAAGTTGTTTTAGACTGGCTAGAAGGATGCCAGCTTATTCATCGGAGTTAGGAAGCCTGCGGACTTGATTCATAAGACCACACCTTTGTCCTTTCGTTTACTTTTTCAAAGCATCTCGCATACAAATCTATAAGACAATCAAGTCTAAATCTACCACATATGCCTTACATGCACTGGATCTGGTCCATAAGACCATAATAAACCTGTAATGACTGCAGCTGCATGATGAGGACGTAACCAATCCCAGGTTAGGCTATGTAGAATGCCTGCGTAGCTGCAACCGAGGACTTCGACCCAGTTACCCTTGGGTTTGTATGTCAACACCACAGCCAACGTTAATCCTCTCGCTCATTCCGCAACTCCAATTCGGCAGCCCCAGCAGCAGGGCTCCCCTGTTGCCTTGACCGGTCGGCCCCCAGCACGGCGCCCTCATTCTCAGTCCGAAGCTTATGCGCTCGCACGAACAAGTTAAGGACGGTAGCCAGTCCAGCAAATGCCACATACTAATAGCACACAGGGCATAACATTAGCACAGAGCAATGCGACGTGTTGATATATCGCAATGACCTACCATGACCCACACCATTCTCAACGCCTCAAAGTACGTCTTCCTAACCAAGGCCTCTTGAACTGCATCTAGTCCAAGAGTGCTAATCTCCTCCACACTCGAAGCGGCATTGTCGCCATTGAATTCGCTGGCCAAAGTAGAGTTGGAACCCAGCTGGCTTGCTAACCCCTCGTTTTTCGCATTCATCTCATTCTGAAACACAACACCCCCGACAACAACCGAAATAGCCGTAGAGAGAGACCGGACAAACCCCATTGTCGCAGTGACAGCTGCTGTATCCCGGATACTGGTTGCCGCCTGAGCAGCGAGAATCGGCGCTTCAATGTTCATGCCTACACCGATACCGACTAGGATCTGGAAGATGACTAGTTTGGTTATATTAGCTTCAAAATCAAGACTAATTAGTAGGCCGGAGCCGAGGACCAAAAAGCCCTGGGCAATATACATCACCGGGAGATATTTCCCGGTTTGCTGCATGAAGATCCCGGCTGCGGCCGCGGCCAGGGAACATGAGACAATTAGTGGTAGAAGGTAGAGGCCTGATCTTAGCGCGCTTGCGGCCAGGACGGACTGCGCATATAAGGGCAGGTAATATGCTTGTCCAATAAACACGTATGAATTACACGCGAAGACAACGTAAGGCGCTATCTTGGTCGGCGAGGTGAACAGCCAAACTGGAATAATTGGGTTCTTGGCAATTTTCCATTCGTTAACCACGAACAGCGCCATCACTGCTGTTCCGAAAACCAAAAGACAGATGACGGTTGCAGAAGACCAGGAGTAGACGACGTCGCCAAAGTCAAGGGCAAGGAGGACCATCAAAGAGCCGCCTATGATCAAAAGACTGCCTGCCCAGTCAATGACTTTTAGGCCGGCGGCAATGGGTGTTCGAGGGCTCGGAACTCTCATAAAGAAGAGCAAGACCAGGAAGGAGACGGCACCGACTGGTACTATACAGTCGAGAATGTAAGCTAAGGGCTGTCAGGTTAGATGAAAATGTCTTACAGTTAATCCAAAAACACCATCTCCAGGTGAGCCTCGACGTAAAAACGCCACCCAGAACAGGCCCTATGGCACTGCCAACTGCCCAAACGAGCGAAGTGATTGCGAGGTACAACCCCCGATCTCGTAGTGAAAACATATCACTGACAACAATATTGACCATGATCCCCATTCCGGAGCCGCCTAATCCCTGAATCGCCCGTCCCGCGATCAGAGCATCCATATGCGGTGCAAGGGCACAGACAAGACTGCCGATGAGAAAAACGGCCACTGCAATGAGCATAATGGGTTTTCGGCCCCAGATGTCGGAGACCGAGCCCCATACTGGCGTAATGGCTGCGTAGGCCAGGGTGTAAGCACTTCCCACCCAAATATAGCTGGCCGAAGATTTGAACGTGCCAACTATAGCAGGAATTGCAGGAGTAACAATTGTTAAGTCAAGAGCGGAGAGGAGCACAGACAAACAAAGCGACATCATAGTCCACGCAATTGTGGTGGTGGTGAGACGCGCCCCAGGCTCCCTGGATGGGGAGGGTGCGGGCGCGGGAGTGGCATTATCAAGAGTGCTGCCAGTCGCATCAGTGCGGGAATTAGACGTTGAGGAAACTCTAGCAAGTCCTCGAGCCTTGGACATTGTCAGGGAGAAGTGGAGAGGAAAATCACCACCAGATGGGGGATTCAAGGGAGGAGGGGAAAGCAGATGGAGGAGAGGACGTTTTATAAAGAGGGATTACCCCCCCGGTCCTGTCACCTGACCTGGCTGTGTTTACAATGAAAGCAGTACTAATAACATGTATGATTTAATCCCAAATAGGACATTCCCAATCATATTAGGGTAAGAATCTTGCTACTTATATCATTCTACGGTCCAGATACTCCCACATCTTCCTGTGCTCCCCGCCACGTAATCCTCACTTTCATACCGAAATGCGCTGTCAGCCCATGGTTAGCCCACCGAAAAGGCTCAACTGGATCGACCATGGCAAAATCAAACCGCCGAAAGAGCTGTGAAAGAATCAATTAGAGCGAGGAATCGGAGTATCTAGGAGATGGCACCTACCTCGAAAATCGTCTTTCCCAGCTCTATGTACGCAAGCCGCTTCCCCAAACACTCCCACCTTGTTCCAGTCGCAAATACCAGTCCGTACGAGGCATCCATGTCCTTTTTCTTTTCCACTGGTGCGTCAATCCAGCGTTGCGGCTCATATACATCTGCATCATCTCCGAAAATGTCTCTATTCCTCATAATGGCCAGCGCCGACCAAGCAACTTGGGTATTTGCAGGGACCCTGAAGCCACAGATAGTATCATCGCGCGGACACACCTTACCCATAAGACCCATACTGGGGGGGAATATCCGTAAACCTTCTTTGATGCATGCCTGGAGGTAGGGAAGGGCTTTGGCCTCGGCGTCTCTGATCACTGGGCATGTGACGGTCTTTACAGCACCGTCAATCTCAGATTGAAGCGCGTGGTATGCTCGAGGATTGGTCGACAGATAGAAAATAATATTCCTCAGGGCAGTAGATGTGGTGTCTGTTCCGCCAAAGACAGTCACAAGAGCTTCGGACTCGACTTGGGGCCTGCTCAAACCAGACTTGACGAAGGATTGGAGGATATCAGTGTGATTGGTTTTTGAGTCATCGTATCGCTCGTCAACAAGGTCCTTGATATAGCCGAGGAATCGGCCAACTCCGCTGCGGTCATGGGGCTTGGGATGAAACGGTTTCAGCAGACGACTTTCCAAAATTTTTCTGAGAGTTGGAAGCAGGGTAACCATATGGACGGGTCTATGGAGATTCTCAGACGTTTCTAGGATCCCATGTATGTCACTATTCGCCTCCAAGTAGCCCGCTGGTTTTCCAAATCCGACGGCCGTGATGACATCTTGTGTCAAATACTGCATCGTTCGAGCTAGATCGCATGGTCGCAAGGCTGCTTGGGTAGAGATATATCGCTGCTTGATTAGTGCTATGAGATTTTCGATCTGTTCGTCGACAAGCTGTTCCTCATTTGTGATCCCCTTGCCTCCGTACCCTGGCATAAGGTGGCTTCGGAGCCGGTGGTGCTCCTTGTTATCAATGACCGACAAGACGTTGTTCACCTCGCTGTTCAGACGGACAGCCTTGTACCAATCTGAGCGGTGATAGCCAGAGTTGATCCCCCATATTCGGCGGATCTCAGCGGGATCACCGCACAGCACCCACTTTGGGCCGATTCGGACGAGGGGACCTGGCAAAGGACATCAGTCAGTGTAAAATATTCGCAGGACAGGAGGCTGTTCTCACCATATTCTCTACAAGCATTGTAGAGGCTGTCACAGAGCCTGCCAGACCAAGCCTGTCTTACCAACCACAACTTTGTCCACCCGGTTCCTGGGGGTCCTGCAATGTGCCGCAAACGATTCCATTGGTAGACGCGTTGCCCAAGGAAATACACCAGAAACCAGAGAGCCCCAAAAAGCCAAACATGAGGGGCCAGCATGATCCAGGGATTATGATCTGTCTGTTTGATCGAACCTCGCAAAGTTTTCCGCTCGCGCGCAATAATTTCGAGGACACGCAGGAGAACAATGGACGAGACATCCACTGCATCATTGAGCATCGGCTGCTGGCAGTGAGTAAAGCAAAAGCTGTATTATACTTGCATGGCCTTCTTTTGCAAAATGAAATTTGCTGCCAGTCGAGACACACAGCTTACGCCGCAAATACGCACTGTAGACTAATCAATATCGGGTGCTTATCGCGTCACTTTGATGCATCATGCAATGCACCGCCGTCACCTATCTTACCCTAACTTGCAGGCAACTCCTCCCCAACACTCACAAATTTACATGACTGGCTGGAAGGTATCAGATCTTACAGGAGTAGGTCTGAATTACAACAGCTGTTATACCTTGCATTTACCTAACTAGGTAAACTTCCATGTGTGCCGAAGTGAGACATATTTGGGGCTTACAAGGATCTGCAGCGCTTGGGGCGGAGTCGTCCGGAGACAAAACGGGCACTTCGGCACAGTATTACCAAGGACTAGTATTTTTCAGAAGCCCGGAGCTTGCGCCTTTTGCTACATATGTAAATATGGTTTTGGAGCTGAAGCCCCGGGATGATGCTATGTGCCAACGTACATTGCTATCTCAAAAGGGAGCTTGAGGGAACATCACACCTAGCTGTGCAAAATGGTTGCTTTCAAGCGAGCAAAGATGATTCTACTTTTTTCGAACGTCGGCATTGTTCTGAGCGTTGTAATTTTCATGGCCGGGTACTTCAGTCCCCCTCAGAAGCTGCCATTTGAAGATGACCTTGAGCAGACTGGGTTGCAAGGAGCTGGAGAGGAGGGAGGTTATTCTCAGCCACCTGCGCCCTTTGACAAAGTCGTCTTTATGGTTATTGATGCGCTACGCAGGTGCGATACCTCCATTAGTCCTTCATCTGTGCCGTGGGAGCTAAGGCCGGCTAACATTATATTCATACATAGTGACTTTGTCTACGGGGAGGACTCGGGCTTCGGCTTTACACAGAGGTAAGTTGCGTCTCCATAACACCAATCATTTCTCTGACACTCGTACAGTCTCATAAGATCCGGATCCGCAATTCCATTCACTGCACTCGCTGCCCCGCCAACCCTAACTCTGTCACGTATCAAAGCCATGACCCAGGGAAGCGGGCAATCTTTCCTCGATGCATGGCTCAATGTCATGCACTCCGCCGATGCGAGGCGGCTCGTCGGAGAGGATACATGGCTGTCTCGCTTCAAGGCGGAGTGTGCGCCGGAAAAGAAGATGGTCTATTATGGCATCGACATGTGGTGTATGCTGTACCCGGAGATATGGGACCGGTATGAGACCGTGGACTCGTTCTATTTACCGGTGAGCTCGCATCCGTTGAATGGAGACTCGATGGTAAATATATTAACAATCTGCCCGTCACAATAGAATTTCAGTGAGGTCGATAGCAACGTTACGAAGGGATTAATATCCGAACTCGACAAAGATGACTGGAAGGGGTTGGTTCTGCATTACCTCGGCCTCGATAATGCAGCTCACTTTGGGGGGGCCGGGAGGTATGCTGATACTCACTATTATATATGCTACCGTTTATGATTATCTGCTGACCTCAAGTCTACAGCTCGATCGTGAGAGCAAAGCAAGTCGAAATGGACGATGTGGTCCGCCGGATTTACAACGCACTGGAGGATCTGCCCAGTCATGCCAACACTCTGTTTGTCCTAGCTGGCGACCATGGGATGACGGACAACGGCAACCACGGGGGTGATACACCAGCCGAGGTTGCTTCTGCGCTGCTCTTCATCTCGCCCAAGCTCAAAACTCTTGGCAACACATTTACGAGTCCGCTGCTGCACCATTCAGAGTTTACCTACTATTCTGTTGTTGACCAAGTCGACATTGTCCCCACGTTGGGAGCACTCCTGGGCTTCTCAATCCCCACCGGAAGTGCGGGAGTCGTTATCAAGCAGTTGCTCGCACTTTTCCCGGAAGTCAGTCAACAGGTGCGAGTCCTGATGCGCAATGCGCGACAGATGGTCAACCTTCTGTCTTTAAAGAATAGATTGGGGGCTTCGATGCGTCTGGAACTGTGCGACAGTAACTGCCATTGCGGTTCCGATAGAGCCTGTCATGTTCTGTGCCTATGGGAACGGCTGAATGCCGAAGGCTCTGCGACAGTGCAGAGTGAGGATTCCAATATGCACAATGTAGCCCGCTTGCTACAGGAGGTAAGTCAATTCGGCCATGAGCAGCACACGTGGATGTTTAAGTAACGTGGAACAGATCTGCTTTGACGCCCAGCAAGCTCTTGGCGTGACACACAATAATCTCAACATGCGTCGCATGGCCACAGGCATAGGCCTTTTGGTTCTGGTGGTCATCTCTCTGCTTTCAACATTGGGCGTTCGGAAAAGCGAGCAGAGTAATCTTCATCGGTTAATGTCCGGAGCCGTCGTACTTTTCCATGGCATCACAATGTTCTCTAGTCGCCTAGTGGAAGGGGAGCACCTTTTTTGGTATTGGACATCTCTAGCATGGTTTGTATATTTGGCTCTCAGATGGTATGACTAACCAGCTATGCTATCCCGCTTAACCGTGATAAATCTTTCTAACCAATATCTAGGTTACCAACAGCGACAAGCAAGGCCGGCGCAATTTTTGTGCCTCTTCTTCACATTGTCGGCCAAAGCTTGAATCCAGCTGGGGAAACTCCTTGGGGAGCCGGCAAATACCTGCATCGCTTCCTCGATAACAGTCCAGTATGGCTCTGGATTCTGGCAGCGGGTGCGCATGTACTGGCAGTGCGAACGTTATCCGAAGCTATCGGCGTCGCCGTCGGGGTTGGAAGATACGCCTCAATATTCGGTGCGTGCTTGGTGTGCGGCTTGACGGTGTTTTTCAAGATATGCTCGACACATACCTTCAACCCAGAGCTCTTGGAGTTTCTGCCTCCATGGCTCCAGTCAACCTTTACCGAGGATGTTGGAAATCAGGCTCTTTGGTCATTGTGGAGTGGGCTACTGGCTCTATGCATTGTCTTGCTTGTCCGCCGTCGTGCGGGGACTACCACCGTGAGCCAAGCGACTAGTAGAGGTTGGTCTGTTTACCAAGTAAGAGGTTGGCTTATTGCTAATGATATCTGCTGCTCTTAGCTGTTCTTGTTGGAATTGTCGAGCTCGGAAATGTATATCTGCGCGCACAAGCACGACCAAAGAGTCTCATTCTCTTCCTAATCTTCGACCTGCAATTGCACTGGCTCCGTAAGTTTTCTCAACTTATCTTCCTGCTTCGGAGTTACTGACCCTGCGTAATATCTCAGTGTTGGCATCTTCCAAAGTCCAAACAGATGTCTCCACAGTATCCCTCACGGTCCTCCTCCTCACCCAAAGCGCCTTCTTCTCTGGCGGCCGCAGCAACTCCCTCGCCTCATTAGATATGATGAACGGGTACAACGGCATCTCGCATACTGACAGCATGCTGAATGTTATTCTCGTCTCGCTACAGACCATTCTGAGTAACTGGCTTGGTCCGGTATGGTGGTCGCTTGCTGGGCTGCGGCTCCTAAGCGAAGCAACCGCCTCTAAAACTCGTGACTCAAGGGTGCAATGTTTTCTGGAGTATTTTACCTACCAAGCACTCTATTCGGCAGTCAGTGCTCTCGCCGTCATGGCGTCATGTCTTTGGTGGCGCGATGATGGTGTCCTGTGGACGGTGCTCGCACCGAAGTATGTCAATGTTGCGCTTTGGGCTGGGTTTCACCAGTTGCTCGTTAATGGGCTTTTGGGCATGGCATTGTGGTTTGGAATTGCAGTGTAGGGTGGTTGTAGTGATAGTGTAAGACGTTGGAACATCATTTGTGATAGATTCTACTTCTATTATATCCTCTAGAAGATGTTGCAGTTTCCAAGTTGAGGTAGTCAACCTATATATCTCACAGACTTATCCCCGGCGTCGATACCAAAGAAAAAAATAATAAATAAATAAATAAATAAAATAAAGTAAAATAAATATAAAAATAAAAACCCTGATTATCGAGATCACTTCTTCCCTTCCAGATTCAAAAGGCGCTGCACCCACTCGGTCTGCACCTGGTTGACATTCCCCTGATGCGCCCCCTCCAGAATATCCATGTGAACCGCGCCCTGCTGTACATACAATTCTTTATCCGCCGACATCAAAGTTTCAAAATGCCTCTTCTGCGTCTCCGTGCCCACAACCGCATCCTGTTCAGCCAGAACAAAAAGCACGGGGCTCTTGAGATACTTCCACATATGGCTTGGCTCCCAAAGCAGCATATTCCGATACGTGCCCACGGTCGTACGGTTAACGTGGTTGGGCGCCAGCTCGGCCCTGAGCGGGTCATTTACGTCTTGCGTATTGAGCAGCCTGATGGCGACCTCGCGCTCAAAGCCCAGGTTAAATCCCGCTGGGTTCTCGCCCGTTTTCGTGAGCATGGGGACGTAGAAAGGATCGTTGCCTTTGAGGCGGGACTCGCGGTCCTGCGCGGCTTTGGCGAGTACGGCAGAGAGTTTTGGCAGGTTCTGCGTGGCGCCGACGACGGGACACACTGCGACGGTGAAGCGTGCGCGTGGGTCCAGGGCCGAACTCACGAGAGCAATGCTTGCGCCGAGTGACATGCCCCAGAGGCCTACACCTTGGGAGCGGTCGATGTTTGGGTGGGAGAGGAGGAAGGTGAGAGCGTCGGAGAGGTCGTCGACGCATTGGAAGGGGTTGATGTCGTTGCGGGGGCTGCCGTCGCTGAGACCGACGCCACGAGGGTCGTAGATTAGGGCAGTGATGCCGGCGCGTTGAAATGATGCTGCTGTTGTTGGGAGGCCGAGCATCTCTTTGGTTGCGTTGAACTTGGATATTCCATTAGGATGAATTGAGTCATTTGGAGGGTGGGGGGAGTTGTTGATCGTACGTACGCCGGGAGTCATGATGATTCCTGGTCCTCGCTTGTCAGCAGGGAAAAGATATCCTCGAAGGATTGTGTTGTCGAGGGTGCGGAACTCGATGTTTTGGTGGGAAGGCATCTTGTGAGAGGCTATACGTGGTAGAACGGAGAGGAGCGAGATGGATAACTTGTCTCCCACTGCTCTCTATACATCTGGAGGAAATGTCTGCGAGAGGCTCTGGGCTCAGCTGCGGCACAAGGTATTTGCATATTTGGTTACTAGTTGCAATTGTTCGTACTGTAAATTTCAATTCTCAGCTTGTGGGTGCCACCATTCCTTCGAGTGTCGTCAGCATGGACTGGATCGGCCGGTCACAAGAGCAGATGCCATTTCTGGATTAAGTTGAATTGCTTCCTGACATACACGTAAGCAGAGTGCTTGTTGCAAGTGTTGGAACCAGGGGTCTGATAGGTGGGACGCAAGGTCCGACGTTTGGTTGACTCAGATCATACTATATTAGTATACTACTTGGCATCTCTTGTTGATGATTGCCTTACAAATCCCCATCGGAAGCCAGCCGAAGCCACCCGATCTTTAAGTGGAATCTTATCTTATATCAGCGGGTCAACCCTCACGGCACGCCATGCGTGGGGTTTAGCTAGGGCCGAGAGTTAGTGCTGAGCACATCAATTAGTGTAAACAAGGTCTTACTGCATGTAGCTATTGCTATTGGCCTATTACATACTAGTAGACTCTTTTGAAACTCCTCAGCAGTGTGTGGCTCGCGTGCTCATGGCTACTCCATGTCGGAGCTTTTGAGAACAATATGATAATCGGCAACGTCGGGGATTACATGACTCTATGCCAGATATTCAGACATTGGAGTTGGTCAACTTGGTATTGTGATTATATATGATAAGTCCTGAAGCTCTAGTAGGTTGAGGTACAATACAGCAGACATTATTATATTATCCTGATACTTACAAGAGGAGTAGGAAATCTAAGATATCCATCCTAAGATAGGTATCTAGCATTCACTACTAATCACGATAATCTGTTCTGTTGGAGCACTGGCGCCTGGTTTATTGCTGATTGTTGCAATCTGCAATCAGCAATGGTTTCCTGATCGAGATGCGTGCATACTAGGAATGTCACGGGACCGGGAGTTGCCACATGGGTAGGGCTGTCTGGGGAACCAGGCCCTTGGCAAGATAGATATGAAACACAAAAATGTAGCGAATAGTTGACTAGTTAGTTGTCGATCAATACTAGTGCTGATGTTATCTACGCGTAGTATAACTCATCGTATGATTCAATGTCGAAGCACTAACCGCTAGACCAAATACAATTGATATCGCGTCTAGTCAGCCAGGCGACGGAAAGATATGTATCCCAACATCCGATTATAACTTTACGAAGTAACAGTTGCTTGAGTTGTATTCTTATATATATGATAGAGACTCTGTGCATCCACAGAGTGAAGCTTTGAATCTATCCTTTATAACTCCCGTATCCGGCGGCAGTTATCACGGCAGTAGGGAGCCAGTTCTTTGGTGGGAGGTTTCTCTTATCAGAATCTTAGATGAGATTGAGCAGGATCAGCATGGAATCAAGTTTCCGTATAACATCAGCTGGAGGACACGTCATCTGATTGCAAAATATACTAGTGGATTAGTCTTACAGCACTTGCGCTAGCCCTTACACTTTCGGTACATTCTCCGTACCTTCGTCTGGCTCCATGATATACTCTGGAAGTAGTGCAATCAATACGGTTTGATTTCCATACATGTGGCTTGCTCTCAACAGGTTATACCCCTTGTCTGGCCCCCATTATTGCGGGGGAGGCCAGGATATTGTATATCGGATATTGAATAGCTCGGACTTTGCGACAGGAGAGCATTATGCCATAGGATGCGCTACTTTGATCACTCACGGTCCAGAATGCGTTGGGGCTTGCGCCCACCTGATAGGACGTCCTAGTGTAGAGAGATGGAACGTTGGATACTACATGGATGCCAACAATGGCCAGGGAGAGCATCGAGATGGCATGGCCGAGTTCCACTATATGTAGCGAGGGTAATACTGGTATTATAACTCTATTCAACTTCTACTTATTCTGGTCTGCAGTACAGTTGGCAAAATGTCCGACTTCACAAACGGTAACATGAACGGTAACATGAATGAACATCCCAAACTCAATGGAGTCAGTGGCACAAACCACGCTCCGAGCCAAGATCTTCACGTGGAGTTTCCCAACAGCAGCAGTCCCTACATCCAAGAGCCTGTGGCTGTGGTTAGCATGGCCTGCAGGCTACCGGATACATGTCACACCCCGCGAGCCTTCTGGAAATTCCTCGAGCAGGGGCGAATTGCGATTAACACGCCCCCAGGCACTCGGTACTCCCTGAACACCCATTACGATGGTTCACTAAAGCCGCAGACTATGGCTTCCCCAGGTGGAATGTTCCTACAGGATGTTGACCCCCGCGATATCGATGCCCAGTTCTTTCACCTTTCCGGAATAGAGGCAACCTCTATGGATCCGCAGCAGCGTCAATTGCTAGAAGTTGTCTATGAGGGCCTCGAAAACGCAGGCGTCACTCTGGAACAACTCGATGGGGCGTCGGTTGGCTGCTTTGTTAGCTCGTTCGCCAGTGATTATGGCGACATGCAGGCGCGAGACCCGGAGAACCGTGCATCGGCCACTGTTGTTGGGGTTGGTAGAGCCATGCTCAGCAACCGTCTCAGTCACTTCCTCAATATCAAAGGGCCAAGGTGCGTTGATTGCTTTAACTACCACTATGTAGGCCGCTACTAAAGTACCCGTTAGTATGACAATCGACACTGCCTGCTCCGGGGCTCTTATCGGGATTGACCTCGCTATGAGATATCTTCAGTCCAAAGAGATAGACTCGGCGATTGTTGCAGGCGCCAATCTATACTGCAGCCCCGAGCATGTCATGGATCATTACATGGGCGCGAATGGCGCCGCGTCGTTATCCGGGCGTTGCCACACGTTCGACTCCAAAGCAGACGGATACATCAAGGCCGAGGCAGTTAACATGGTGTACTTAAAGCGTCTGAGTGATGCCATTAAGGAGAAAGATCCTATTCGTGCCATCATTCGTGGAACTGCTACCAACAGCGATGGCTGGACAGCTGGCATCGCGAGCCCCAATCCCGAAGCACAGTCGGCTGCTATACGACAGGCTTATAAGAATGCTGGCATAGCTGACCTCTCGCTGACGAGCTACGTTGAATTCCACGGCACTGGGACAAGAGCGGGTGATTCTCTAGAGGCGAACGGGGTTGCCACTGTCTTCACGCCATTTCGAGCACCCGATCGCCCTTTGCGAATTGGCTCGGTGAAAAGTAATATTGGTCACTCGGAGCCGGCGGCCGGTCTATCCGGACTGCTGAAGACTGTACTCAGCCTGGAGCACGGAGTCATCCCAGGGAATCCGACGTTTATCGATCCTAGTCCCAAAATTGATTTCGCAGCATTGCGGTTGTATACTTCGCGGACACCCACTACCTGGCCGGAGGTTCCCTTCCGGAGAGCCAGCATCAACTCGTTTGGGTATGGTGGCTCGAATGCCCATGTCATCGTCGATGAGGCTAAGGACCTCGGTCACCATCATGTCTCTTCTTATGTAAACGAGGAGACAGATGATTTATTTGCGGACGAATCAGCGACACGACCTTATCTTCTAGTCTTTTCCGCAAACGATGAAAAGGCACTAGACGCCCAAGCCGCTGCATTGGATCGTCACCTGTCCGATCCGGCTGTCAAAGCCTCTCTTCGTGATCTTGCGTATACTTTGAGCGAACGGAGATCTCGCCACTATCATCGCTCCTTTACAATCACGAGCAGCACCACTCTAGACCTTGCCACACTAAATCAAGGGCATATATCCGAGCAGAAGCCCAAGGTTGGCTTCGTCTTTACAGGGCAGGGCGCCCAATGGCCAACAATGGGGAGAGGGCTCGTTGAAACATTCCCCCTGGCCGCGCATACGATCCAGCAGTTGGATGGAATACTACAAGACGCTCATGATCCGCCATCTTGGTCGCTCTACGAAGAATTGACGGCCGACGGTGCTCAGGTCCAACGTCCGGAACTATCTCAGCCGCTTGTCACGGCACTTCAACTGGCACTGCTAGCTATATTTCAGGCTTCCGGTGTGGTGCCTCAAGCAGTCATCGGGCATTCATCCGGGGAGATTGCAGCAGCTGTCGCGGCAGGCTACATCACCCCCGAGCAGGCTATCTTGATAGCGTATTATCGGGGTAAAGCTACATCCGAAGCCGTTTACCAGGCACCTGTCGGGATGATGGCTGTCGGTCTTGGACCCGACCAGGTCTTACCATACTTGGAGGGCACTACTGTTGAGATTGCCTGCATTAACAGCCCGCAGAGCGTCACCCTCTCAGGCACTAAATCGGAGCTTGTTCCCATAGAAGAACGTGTCAAAAATGATGGGTACTTCGCACGACTACTTCGTGTGGATGCAGCATATCATTCCCACCATATGAAGCCCGTCGCTGGGCGATATGAAGATCTGTTGAGGCAACATGTCGAGTGGCCAAAGCAGAGTAAGAACAACAAGCAATCACTGATGGTGTCGTCGACCACCGGCAAGGCACTCGAAACCCCACCAGGGCCTGCCTACTGGGTTGCCAACATGGTTTCGCCTGTGCTCTTTAGCCAGGCGGCACATGAGCTGATAACGGGACCAGAGGCTGTGGATTGCCTTTTCGAAATTGGGCCAAGTGACGCACTGTCCGGACCAATAAACCAGACCAAAAACGCCGCCTCCTCATCAGTTAAGTATGGCGCGGCCTGGAAGCGCGGCCCTAACGCGATCTCAGCCTTGCTACATGCAGCCGGGACGCTATTCACCATGGGCTACCCCATTTCCCTGACAGCATTCAACGATGATGGAGGCGACACTCATCCTGTGTTTGTGTCGGACCTGCCCAACTACCAGTGGAACCACTCCGTGAAATACTGGCACGAGAGCGAATCCAGTCAAGACTGGCGCTTCCGCAAGTTCCCCTATCATGACCTCCTTGGCAGCAAAATCCTCGGCAGCCCATGGACTAATCCAACATGGAAGAATGTGTTGCGGCTAAGCGACATCACTTGGCTGCGCGACCATCTTCTCGGAGACAGCGTCATCTTCCCGGCGGCGGGCTACATTGCTATGGCCATCGAAGCCATCTACCAGAAGACGTATGCAACGGGCCAGATCCCCGAGGGGACTTCCATCTCTGAACTTCCTTTCAAACTGCGCAACGTGACATTCCCCCGAATGCTCACACTGGACACAAAAAGCAGCGGTACCAAGATCCTACTGTCGTTGCAACCGTGCTCCAGCACTAAGGAGTCATGGCACGAGTTTACGGTCAGCACGATCACGAAGGATGGCTCAATTGAAGAACACTGCCGAGGCCTTGTAGGCGTTGCTAATCAAAGTCTTCCTCGACCACTTGTCAATGCGTCAGATGTTGCACCTTTGCAACACCCGGTACCAGGCGCCGTATGGTACAAGGCCATGCGTCGGGTTGGCTACCACTTCGGCCCTGCCTTCCAGCCCTGCCAGCAAGTTGAGGCCAAGGCAGACTCGCGTCAGTGCCGGGCGCTGGTACGACTGCAAGCACCCGAATCTCGTTACCCGCAGAGCCAATATGCAATGCACCCCGCCGCAATCGACGGCTGCTTACAGATTGCTACTGTCGCCCTTAACCGTGGTCATCACTCTGCCATCAACACCCTCATGCCTCCTGCACTCATTGATGATCTCGTGATATTCCCGCACACGGTTGCATCTGGCGATGAAGCGATTGTAGCCTCGGAGGCCGTATGGAGTGGTGTTGGCCGTCCAGATGACAATAAACGTTATGTCAGTGACATCAGAACGATCGCTCAGGGAAGCAATGAGCTCGTCTTCCACCTCGAGGGACTGCGATATCACGCGATAAATGCGAGTGTTGACCGACCTCATGCATTCACGGAGGTTGTTTGGAACCCAGACATTGACTTCCTCACCTCCCCCCAGATGGCGCATATACTACAGCGAGCGGTGCCATCACGAAACAGCAATGGCGAGGGCGATGGAGATGCTGCCGCGGCAGCCTTGACGCAGTTGGCCAAGCTGCTGTCACTGATAGCCCACAAACGCCCATCGGCCAAAGTGCTGGAGGTGGCGGCACGCGACGGCCCAGCAGCTGGAGAGTCCCTGTACCTCGACCATATCCGCTCCAAGGTGGGTCATATTGTCCAAGGGTGTAGCTACCGCTACTTGGCGCCATCCCAGCAAGCCGGGCTGGTGGCCCATGAGAAGTACGCGGCGGAACCGCGTGTTGCTGTGCAGGTGGTGGATGCAGATCATGGGCTTTTTGACGATACCGATGGGAAGTACGACTTTATTATCTTGAAGGTCGACGAAGGGGCGCATGAAGTTGAGCAAATCATCCGGCAGGCACGAGAGATCGTGACAGTGAATGGATATTTGGTTGTGGTGAGGGTAGTAGGGCTCCCATTCTTGAATGGTATGTATCTTACATAACGGCCTAGTAAGTATATGGCAGTCGAAGAAAGCTGACTAGTGGTACTACACCAGGTGACTCTTCCAGCTCGACTGGTCTCGACACTGTTAATCTCATCCAGACCTCCAGGGGTGGCGTCCTCAATCTGCTCTATGTTGGAAGACTGAGGGAGAAAGACCTAGAGACGGAATTTCACAACAGAGACAGTACAAAGGTGCACTTGCTTCATTTTGGCGGTCCAGTCCCCTCCACAAATGCAGTTCAAGATGTTCTTGAAAAGAAGGGATGGACCGTATCGCAGCACAGTCTACCATTTGAAGAAGTCCTCCCGGACAGCACGGTCGTGCTGATAGAAGAGATGGAACACCCGATTCTCTCCGCCTTAACAGATCAGCAGTTCACTGCGCTACGAGGTCTGCTAGAGAAGCAGTGCCGTGTGGTGTGGGTCACTAGAGGGTAAGTCTCGAGACTATATTGTTATTGACGCTTCTTTACAGAGTTTCTTACAGCATACAGGTCTCAGATGCAAGTCACTCATCCAGAGCAAGGCCTCATGTTTGGGGCTGCCCGCTCACTTCGGGCAGAATATTCTTCCAACCTGCTCTTGTGTCTGGATGTCGAATCTCCGACCAGTTCCAGCAGCTTGGAGGCGATTGACACGGCTCTTCGCCATATCACATCTGTCGCTAGCCTCCAGGACGCTGATAGTGAGTTTGTGGAGCGCGATGGGATGTACCATGTCAGTAGAGTGGTCGCAGATGCTGTGCTCAATCAGGCCCAGAAGGAAAGTGAAGACGGAGAAGCAGGAGGGGGACTACCTATTCGCGAGGACATCATCCACGATCACAATTCCCTCATTCGATTGATCAGTGAACGACCTGGTACATTGGATACACTTATATACAAGGAGATCCCGGATCTGCCGAAGCTCGCAGATGACGAGGTCGAGATCGAGGTCCACGCCGCAGGGATGAATTTCAAGGACCTGGCCAACGCAATGGGATTCGTGCCGGCCAATGAGCACCTGTTTGGTTTAGAGTGTACTGGAATCGTCACAGCCATTGGAGACGCTGTGTCTACTGTTCAACCCGGAGACCGAGTGCTCATGGTCCGACGAGACGGAGGCTGTTTTGCCAATAGGGTGAGAAACCGCTGGCATGCTGTTCACCCGTTGCCCGAATGGATCTCGTTCGAAGCTGGTACAACCCTTGGGATTGCAGTGCACACAGCAGTCTACGGCCTCGTCACGTTGGCCAACCTTCAAAAGGGACAGTCTGTCCTGATCCATTCCGCATCGGGTGGAGTCGGCCTGGCTGCCATCGAGCTCTGTCACTATCTCGGGGCAGAGATCTTCGTAACAGTAGGCACGGATGCGAAACGAGACTTCTTAGCTGAGAATTACGGAGTGCGGCGAGACCGCATGTTCTCCTCTCGCAGCACGGCCTTCGCGAAAGAATTGATGCGGGCGACCAATGGCCGAGGGGTCGATGTCTGTCTCAACTCCCTGACCGGAGACATGTTGCACGAGAGCTGGAGATGTATCGCCGAGAACGGCACTCTCGTTGAGATCGGAAAGAAGGACATGCTCGATCGAAACAGTCTCTCCATGGAGCCCTTTGACCGCAACTGCTCTTACCGTGCCTTGGATCTCTCGCGAAAGAGCATCAGTGATGAGACCACCTATCAAACGGGAGTCTACATCATGGACCTCGTGAGACAACGCCATATTAGACCACTGTACATCGGCGCGACCTTCCCCTTTACCGAGACTGTGGACGCATTCAGGTACATGCAGCGAGGAAAGCACATCGGCAAAGTAGTTCTCTCCTTCGAGGAGAGCAAGTCCGTGCCCCTACCCTTTCGGCCAGCAGGACCTGTCTTCCGCCTGCGCCCAGACGGCTCATACCTCATTGCCGGTGGACTCAAGGGCCTTTGTGGAAGCATTGCAGTTTACCTGGCGCGGCATGGAGCGAAGAATCTGGTGGTCATCTGTCGCAGTGGGTACGAGGACCCGCGATCGCAGAAGATCATCTACGACTGCCAGTGCCTGGGATGCCATGTCGATCAGGTAACAGGGGATATCACGTCCCTTGAGGACGTCCGCCGTGCCTTTACCACCGCCTCGTTGCCCGTCATCGGCGTGATTCAAGGCGCAATGGTCCTCCGCGACAGCATGTTTTCGAATATGACGCCTGACGAGTTCCGACAACCTATCACACCCAAGGTTGCCGGAACTTGGAACCTGCATCACGCGTCGCTCGAGCTATCGACCTCATTAGATTTCTTTACCCTCCTCTCCAGCGTGAGTGGCTTAGTAGGACAGCTCGGACAAGCTAACTATGCGGCGGGCAACGCCTTCCTCGACTCCTTCGCCGCGTACCGCCTGCAGCAGGGCCTTCCAGCCTGCTCGATCAATCTCGGTCCCATCGACGATGTCGGCTACCTCGCCAACGACGAGCAAGGTACAATGCTCAATCGTGTCTTCGAAAATCGCGGCTGGACCCCCATCCACGAGGCCCTACTGCATCAGATTCTGCGCATCAGTATCCTCCAGCAGACACACCGTCTCAACCCATCCCACACCGGACAACTCGTCACAGCGATTGTGCCCGGCGAGACTCCCTTCGAACCCGTGCATCGGTTCAGCGCCCTGGCAGGTCATAATACAGCCAAGACCGCCGGCGGCGTCGACGCCGAATCTAAATCCAAGCTGGCGCTCCTAAAGAAGGCCTCATCGGGCGACACTGACTATGCCATTTTACTCGCTGCCGCCGTGGGGCTGGTGAATCCTGTCCTCATGCGCAGTTTGGGTGTCGGGGAACCGTTGGACCCGACTCGACCGCTGAGCAACTACGGAGTTGACTCGCTGGTCGCAGTGGAGTTGAGGAACTGGGTCCGTCAGCAGTTGGAGATCGAGGTTAGCGCGCTTGAGATCGTGGGTGCTAGGACTCTGACGGCGTTGTGTGAGACGCTTCTGGGCAAGCTGGTGCGGTAGACTTGATGCCTTTGCGGTATCCTTTTTACCATGCTTGTTTCTAGTCGTGTAGTCCTAGGTTCTCTATGCCTTGCGTTATATACATGTCTCTTACATAGGCAACACCCACAGTGTACTGAACGATATTCTAAGACTAACTCAGTAATATCATATTACAAAGTCCTGAGTGTAGCATTTAGCTCAAATTACATTGATAAATTGGATCTACATTGCCCGATGACGCTATCACCGAACCACGAGAGGACAACCTCACCCTAAACCTCATAAGTACTGTGATTTAGACAGCCAGTTGCCATTGGCCATCCACCCGATTATAGCGCTGGCCAGATAATAAAGGCCATTATGTCTACTCTCGGGTTAATCGACCTGTAAGCTGTCCAGAAACAGTACTTTGTATAGTTATCCACGACCCGATCTTTGTACATGCCATACCCTTTGCCTCCTACCTCAAAAGGTAAGGCCTATTTTCAAACACTGGCAGATAGTCAGTCTACCGCTTGCTATTTCCATCTAGTAGTAACTTCAAACCTCCTGATCCGAAAGGCGGTATCCTTTCTGCCCACACTATGTCCAACCCTAACTATTACAGGTAGGCGGCAGGGTGTGAGCATGAGCGAAAACGCCGGCGGTGGATGCTGTGGCAGTAGCGCCTCACCGTGATATAATATTGTTGTAACAACCCTGTTGTGCTCTCTATTGAAAGAGACTCCACACCCATTCGTCCTCTACAGGAGAATACTAGTATTTCAGTCTGTCAACCATCTCCTGTGGATTTCCGTCGGTCAATAAAATCGGTGAGATGATGTCATATGGGGAGAAGAACAAGAGGGAGGATCAGCCGCAGCATTATTACTAGTACTATTACTCAACTGCACTCCTCCACGCGATCTTATCAACTGGTCAGATGAAGACCAGCCTCAATCCATCTGCTACTTTGTAAACAGATGGATCGGAATCTCGGATCTACAAGCAGATCACCAATGACTGTTTCCATCGCAGTCCATGTGGTTGCATCTCCCCCACAATTTGCTAATCTGCTGACAAATCCATTGCGAATAACTTAACTACTAACTAGTTACTAGATAACTATACAATTACATCCATCTTCACAATTTATCTTCTATCTATTCCAATACACGATTAACGTATATAGTGGGATATACACAATGACCAACTTCAACATCCAAATCATCTCCGACACCGTCTGCCCGGTACCTACCCTAATCCCCAAACCTCCCATTACTCCCCGGTCCATCCCACTATACCAACATCTACTAACAGAATCAAACAAGTGGTGCTACGTCGGCTACCGCCGCCTCACGCGCGCCATCACAACCCACAAAGCCACCCATCCCGCAGACACATTCACCCTAACCTGGCACGCCTTCTACCTGAACCCGAACTCGCCGAGTTTCCCCGGTCTGGACAAGACCGAATACTACAAGTCGAAGTTCGGCGCTGACCGCGCACTTGCCATCTTCGATCGACTGGGTGCCGTGGGCCAGAGCGAAGGGATCAAGTTCAGTTTTGGCGGGAGGACGGGGAATACGCGGGACTCGCATCGGTTGATGTGGTATGCGGGGCAGAAGGAGAAGGAGAAGAAGGATGTAGAAGAGAAGAAAGAAGAGAATGTGATTGGGGGCCTGCAGACGAGGGTGGCGGAGGAGTTGTTCCGGGCGTATTTTGAAGAGGAGAAGAATGTGACGGAGCGGGAGGTGTTGGTGCAGGCGGGAATTGGGGCAGGATTGGAGAGAAGTGAGGTTGAGAGGTTGTTGGATGGGGAGGAGGGAGGGAAGGAGGTTGATTTGGAGGCGGAGAAGGCGAGAAGGCAGTTGGTGACGGGCGTGCCGTACTATATGGTTCAGGGACAGTATGCTGTAGAGGGGGCGGATGAGCCGGAGACCTTTTTGGAGGTGTTTGAGCAGGTGAAGAAGAGTACTTAAAAATTGGGGTTACGATATCAAATGGGTATGTATAATAAGGCAATCTACAGGTACTGTTGATCCCATGCAAATTACATTGCTCTATGGAGGCAGCAAATATGTAACACAAGCAGAGAAGAAGTGTAACGTAGTGGAGTCTAGTCTTATAAGACAGCCCATTCTTTTGCCCATTAAGTCCTCCAATAATTCACAACCATAAGTCTTTGCAGTGGGGGAGGAGAATTTGCAACCCCAGAGAAAATCCCCAAACGCCCGACTTGACAAATGCGAGCAAGTAATATCCCCGGATGAATTTCAGAAAGAGGAGACAAGGCATCCCTTCCGGCGCCGGAGTAAGCAAATGCACGCTAAAGCCAAGACCCAGTGAATACGCAACTGGACGTCTCCCGGGATAATACACGTATGCGAAAGGGAATGGGGGAAGCAACAGCTGGCAACCAGTCCAGCGTAAGGCTCCATAACACCGAGTAAAAGCAGAAGAGAAGCATAAAGCAAGGTTGGAGAAAGAAACGTCGTCAAGAGTCATTGCTCGTAGAAGGCATCTGTCTGTAAGGTGAGCAGCAGAGATGTCACGGATTTCGCTAGACCAGCCATGGTGTCGTGGCACGGTGCCAGTAGAAATAGCGGAGTCTAGTACTGGGAAGTCTGCTGCAACTTAAAGTCGGGGATGTAGTCAAACCAGTCCGTATCGGGATTGTAACGGTACGCCTTGAATTCAACACCGTACGGCTTAGGCTCCAACATGTAAAGCATCCCCAGAGGCACATCCAAAGAAGCAACCTCATCGCGCTTCAGGCCACGGAAGTACGCCAGCAGGACGCGGGCGACCGACCGGTGAGTGACCAGCAGCACATGGTCGGTCGTCCGCTCCACCTCAATGATCACGGCGCGAAGCCGGTTGATCACATCCAGATACCCTTCGCCTCCAGGGCCGGGGTAGCGGTAGTAGAGCTTGTCCTTCCGACGCGCTGCGTACTCGTGAGGGAACTTTTCGCGGATTTCATCGTAAGTCATGCCTTCCATCTGGCCAGCATAGAGCTCATCAAGCATCTTCATTTGCTTGACATCATACTCATCTTCATTGAAGTAGTCGACGGTTTGCACGGAACGTTGCATCATCGACGACCAAACACAGAAGTTGCGAGGCCGGTCGCGGGGGATGTACGATGGGTTGGGAGGAGTGCTATCGCCAGCACGAGGGGGCAAACGCTGCAGCATTTCCTTCTGTCTCTGAACCAACTCCCACTGCTGCTTCTGATGGTCGATGAAACGGTTCAGCGCCTTTGCATAGCGATGGCCATTCTCACTCAATTCGGAGTCACCACCAATGCGGCCCAGCTGGTTGTCCTTGCTTTCACCGTGTCTGGTAATCCAGATTTGACGCGGGGAGAGGTTAAAGTTGAGCAAATAATAGACGACCTGCGATGAAAGGAAGCCATGCGTCTGATGAGAGACGATCTTGCGTCCAACATCAATCATCTGGATGTACGCCATGCTGTGCTTCTCTTCGTACTCGCCGAGAGGAACATAGGACTTCTCATAGAGCGCCACACGTCGTTTGAAGTCTTCGAGGGACTTGACAGGGTCCTGATCCTTGTAATCGGGGCCCGACAGCTTCAGACGCATGTTGGCTTCCAGCAATTCCGCGTCCACGCAGCTGCTTTCAAGGAACAGGATGTTGAGCTCAGGACCCGCGCGGTTGCGGATATGATCGACGATTGCTTTGCGGCGCTCCATGGTGCTGTTGGTGGCGTCCAGAATGCCGACACTGCCGCCCTCATCGAGGATGTAATCCAGAAGTTCATCCAATGTGTCCAAAGCCACCTGCTCTCGCAGCTTCACGGCCAGCTGATTCTTAGGGTCGAAAAAATTGGCTGACTGGTCGATGGGCTCGGGAGATGCCTCGCGTATGGCATTCTGTTCGGCCGGAGACGCATTCATCGGTGGGACGATAGTGCTCTCGGAAGGATCCTCTTCCTTTCCGTTGACCAGAATCTTGGTAGGGACCGCAGGAGGCGGGAGGCTGCCATCGAAAGGCGGGACGTTGCCTTCAACTTCAGGGGGCGAGGTCACAGCGACCTCGGAGGCATTCGCAGCTGCTTCGGCCCTAAGGTCACTCTTCCTCGACGGCTGATTCATGGTGCCAACGCTGACACTGAGTCGACGCACGGAGTCAACGAGCTCGCTATGAATGGTACTGGCTCTGTGACTCGGACGTCTTCCATCGGTAGCTGGAGACTTTCCGGCGGCCACACGACGACGTTCTCCTACGTTGAAGATCTCGGTATCGTGCTGCAGCCAATTAAGGTAACGGGCCAGCTTCTTCGTGACATAACTCTTTCCCCGAGCAGGGAGGCCGACCATGACAATAACCAGTTTCGAGCCCACATCACGTTGAGCAATACGTCCATCGGGAGAGACCTTCGACTTGGTGAGACCTGGAATATCGAGGGTAGTGGCACGAATTCGACCCGGGGTCGACGGAGTAGTATTGGCAGTACTGTAAAGTGGATAGCTGGTTAGCTTGCAACGCCACAAACTCTGTTCCTGACAGTGTCCAGAAACAGCTGCGACAAATAAGGAGACGACTTTCGGGAAGATAGACACATGGCCCAATCCCAGAACCAAGATAAGAGAGGATGAACTCGGAGAAAAGGAAGTATGAAGCAAACGCGCGGGGAAGACCGGGTCATCAGCCGAGCCAATATAACCCGCATTGACAGCCGTCGATCATTCCGGGGGAATACATAATAAACTAAAATCCTAAAAGAAAAGAAAAGAAAAGAAAAACGGGCTTTCACGATCTAGAATTCGAAGCAAAACGCCCCGAAACAGATCTAGACAGCAGACGAAAAAGAAACGGACCAACAGGAGCAAGGAAAAGGCGGGAGAACATACAAAGGTGGAGACGAGGGTGCGGTAGAAATCGGAGTGTCTGTTAGGGCAAACCCGACACCATCCTTGGGCACCTGCGATCCCCTGTGGGAATCGGAATGCAGTTCGTTGCCTAGCGCTCGTCCGACCAGTGATTTGGGGGGAGGCATAAGATTAGCGTCCTTCCCAGTTCCCGAGTGAGAAACGGATCCATTTGGTTTTCCTGGAGCACCGGCATGTTGGTGATCGGGGGCCGACGCGCACGTCATGATGGCGGATCGTGCAATATCGGTGTGTTGAGACATCCCCGCGAGTGGCGCAGGGATGCAGCCGAGATGCAAAGATGAATCGATAGGTGAACCACAGAATAAGAGAGAGAACCAATGAGAGGATGACAACAGTGCGAATCACCTCCGATCTAATGCTGGCAGCGACCTCAAAACCGGGGTCAACCACAGTCTTTACTCACGGAGGCGATGATGATGATGATGATCGAGGGGAAGTAACTGTTAGTTATTTGGAGAAGGATGGAGAAAAAAAGAGTGAGGGGGAAGATGTTGTGTTGGTCGTCGCGCTGTGAGGCGGGCGGGATGAGTCAAATCCGCGCTCCCAACCAAACGTCACTTCAAATTCACTTGTTCGGCACACAACTCGTCACTTTGACTCGCTCTTTCCGTGAATGCAAGTCCACTTCTTTCTGAAGAGAGAGAGAGAGAGTCTCCCTACAGTCGCGGTCGTGAATTTTATACCACCACGCGGTAGCAACTGCACCACCGCGTCCTTCTTGAGTTAGATAGACGCTGGCAGAATCCCGCAGAACGGGGCTAAGTTCACAGCACGCAACGCTCGTCCAGGGCGGCGGAACCATGCAATGCAAAGCTCCTTATTCCGGCTCTTCCGAAGGCAAAACTGCAGGGCGCAGTTGAAACTAATAAGTGAAGTTATAGGCCAAGGTTTTGTGCACGAGGTGGGAAAGGCTAATTCGGTTGGATGATTCTTATCATCTGGGTTGACGGAGGGTCTTGGAGGTCAAAGAGATTCCAACTGCGACCGGGCATATAAGAGGGTCACGTCCGTTGCTGATGAAGTCACTCCCGCCCACTCGTTCATGACAAACGGTGGAGCTTTTCCGCGGATTGATCAACATCCATGGCCACCCCATGATGTCAAATCATATCCACTATTTTGCTCCTTCTTACAATATGTGGACTTAGCATGTACCAAAGTACATATTTAGAAAGTAACACTACTTTGGTCCACCCGGTTTTATACTATGTATCGAGTCTACTGCAGTTGTAGAATGTCCAACCAGGTCCGCTAGTCATTCTGCACTGTCGATCTTGGAGCTAAAAGCAAATAAAACAACCATTAAAGTAAATCCTTTAAATTCCGCACTAAGTTTGCAGATAGATAGTTAGTACCGATAGTCACCGAGAAAATCTAGAATGCTTGGCCCAGGTAAGGGTGTGTCAGATGTCTTAGTGCCAGCAAGGCGAGTCAACAATCCTTCCAAGTTTCATCTACATTGTCCTGCACTGTACAGATCCGATCACCTCCGTTGCAGCTTACCCCAAGTCTTGCTAGTTTCGGCCTCGTATTTTCTCCGTATACATCCAGTTGTCATGTTCAATCAATTCAGAGTTTATACAACCTAATCATTTCAGTCCGGATGCGAGCAAAAGTAGTGGACAGAAATATCAACCGACTCAGCATTTTATTTCCCAGAATGTAGTTCGATCTACTTCAGAAGTTGGCGATGTATCGTGGTCCAACTCCAAAGCCCGGATGTCTGCAGGACATGCAGTTCCCTGTCCCGATTCAGCTAAACGAAGCGACAGCTATCAGCATCCGCTAGGCATCCAAACACAAGAGCTGTTGCTCTTCGCTTTCTACACTGCAACCGGATATATTTATAATAGGTTGAGTTACATTAGTGCTACGTTTCAGAACCCTTCGCTTCAAGTTTGGCTAGTACTAAGCACTCTTTGTTCTGGATAAATAGGGTCAAAACATTGACGAGTATTCTCTTCTATTGCTGGCCGAAAAGTAATATATACATTGGCTATACCTTCAACCACTAACCTTGTATATATATTTGATACCACATTGACTTGTGAGCTGCTATATTTAAATCCCATATGTCATATCCAAACTTCCATATGATTTGCCAACCGAGTGTCTGAAGCAAACCTCTCTATTGCTCAGAATATCTCTTATCTTATGCAATGGAACCCATGGAACTTTAATTTCCCCAACTGCAAGAGGAGAGCCGGCTATATTTCGTACCAATGAGTTTGGTACTCAACTGTAGGCCTCATGCAAGACACAAGTTTTGAAGTCACCGAACTTGATATCAAGTCCTTCTGACAGAAACATGCCCCCCCCCCAATAGCCTGTCCCATATTCTGATTGAATCTTCCTTGCACTGCTGTCTCATCATTTATTGGACGTCTCCCCAGACACTCTTCTTCGATAAATATATATCTCGCAAGAGAATAACAATCGTTCTCCTGAGACTTCATGGGGGTTCTGCCATTTGACACAAAACGTAATGCCGATGATAGCGTGAATTATTTTTTGCTATGTTAGACGTCAGTATTAGGGTACCAACAAACCACCCGGCATCTCGTGGCTGATTGCGGTTGACTCTTCGTTGGACATCTAAATGAAATTCTGTATATCGGCCACTTTCTGCCCAATCCGATGATCAAGTGCACCGACCTGTGACCACACGTCGATCTCCTTCAACCTCCAAGGTAATATATATACTCATGTATTACAGCGCTGAGTTGGTTGCATACCATTGCCATTGTAGCTACTCTATAAGCAACCAAAATAGGTTTGCAGATCGCTAGACTAGTGTCTTCCAGGACGCTTTAAGTTGAACCGATAAGGACGAAAATAATTGGGCCAAACTCTCGCAATGTATTCAATACCGAAGGGACTGTGTGAAGAGACATCGTCTCCAATCCAGGACATACCTGTTGCATACGAGGTGCCGTGGAAAAGTCGCAGTCTATCGATAGCAGACCCATCGTGATGCAGAGGCCCTTGATATCGAAATGACATCCCCTGGTATTGATGGGCTTTGGTAGTTGCAAAATCTTAGTCTGATTTGCTTTGGTTAGCAAGAGGGGACAGTGCTACCAGTGACTGGATAGTCTTCCAATAATATAGTCCAGAATTTCTTCTATTCACCAATAGATCTGGTGGCATGTCCGCGATAAATTGTCATTAAGGGTGTTGTGTGACCCGTAATGGTGTACCAGATGAGTGCAGTACCATTTCTCTGCCACTGCTGCATGGCTTCAACTGCTGCTTCTAGGAGATTGTGCATAATATGATGAACGCTATTTGTTTTTTCTGCAGATCGTTCATATTTTCTATCAGTCTCTCTTTCCACTTGTAGGCTCAGCCTATGCTGGTGCGCCAAGGTTTTTCTTATTGATTTATTGATCATTCAAGGTTATATCCCTTCCAACAGATAAGGCACTCATTGTGGAGTGGACCTCCTCCTTTACTAGTGTCACGGAAAGCCAATAGAAGTATATAAGTCATGTCGATGAGCAAGACATCTACAACAGTCAAGATTATCTTTTCCAAGAGATAGTAGGCTTTTATGACTAGGTTTTTCCATGTATATGATACTTTGGCTATCCATTTGATCAAATTCATCGACCCGGCTATTAAGGTGCCACGTATCTAAGATGATGGGAATTTTATGAAGAGGAGAGTTGGATACGGAGGATACTGCAGCTTATATATTGGAGGGCTACATGGGAGCTGGTGAAGTTGGGAAGGGGTCGTGAATAGAAGTATGAATATGAGCCTGAGTAATTTAATATGAAGAGACGAATTAACCGTACAAGAAGGTAATGTACAGGAAGTATTCCCTTCGGAACATGTTGCAAGGAGAACTGCAAATCAACTCGACATTTCGACACGCCGTCTCAAGCACGCTTCGGATCGTTACGTATAGTCAGTAGCGCCACCATAGTTTGGAGTGGACTAGACCGGTAATCGTCTCCCGTATCAGCGACATAGAGGACCGTGTAACGGATTGAGAGCAGTGCAGGCAATGGTTCGAGCATAGACAACATGATGATCCTAGACAGTGAGGCTGCCAGTTCGGGTGGCTGAAGGCGGTAATGCTCTATCTCGTCATGAACCGCAGGTCCCACATACCCGGGCAGGAAATGTCTTACTCGTGTTGCAAGCTTATCCCTGTCGGGCCACCCCTCAACTTTGCGCTGGAATGTCGATATGGCTTGATGTTGGCGGAAGTCGGCTCGGCACACCCGCGTGCCACGTCTCTCGACTGCACTTGGAGCAGGAAACGAGAAGCCTGGGATGAGCCCGTCGCATTCTGCATGTACTTGGCAGGTACGCCGTGAGGTTGTAGACTTACTGCCTGAAGTGTCTTGGCGAGGCGTGACCGCCTATTTGTCCAGCCTCACAGTCAGCGCGATAAGGGTCGCGTAGGCGGCAATGCTAAGGGCCGTCAACACCACCACGGCATTTCCACTAGTTCTGAACTTGTGACGAATGCCATCCTCTCCTATCTCGGAAAAGAATTGCCGGTTGCCTTGTTGACGACGGAAGAGTCCGATGATAAGCACGCCCGTGCCGTAGATGGCGAAAAGCGCTCCAGTGCTATAGAACTCGCTAGTGAAGATCTTCAATACCACCAGGGCGAAAGAGAATTGGGATAAAGCTGTACGGATGTAGGCGCCTTCGAAAGTCCGCTGCGCTGCTCGTACTTCGACAATCTCATCCGAAGTTAGCGCGACTGTGCGGGCACGGTGCATCCGCAGCCGGTAACGGTCCGCGGCGCGACGCTGGAGCCAGTCAGTACAGAGACACCATTACAGATGCAAATCTCATTGTAGGACGAATAAGCCGTGTGGTAATCGCCAGTCAGCCAACGCACCTCAAACATCACGACGTGTCATGTAATATATGAGTGGTACGACTCGAGTTCTCCGATCGACGGGATACTGGAGTCAAGGGGCGACTGTCTGGCTCCTCGTTTGGTGATGAGAAACAAACTGAGGGGACTTCCGATTTGGCTTGAAGTTAGGCCCCAAAACGTATGCCGCCTCGAAAGTCGACAAGTCGACAAGAAAATTTCTAAGATGGACGTTGGGCAAGTCGAAGGATGATGAGGGGATTAAGCTAAGCAGCCTGGTCTTTCACGTGGTCTAGCTGCACTGGAAGAGGAATAGCACGCGACCATGGCACCTGGTGGCTCAACTTGGCATTAAGCTGCATCGTCTGCTGTGGCCTATAGCCTTTTCCCTACGTGGAGGACTTCCTTTCCTGGGTCATTTGTAGAGTTGCAAATGGGTTACTCATATCAAATGGATGAAGCTCAAGAGCATACTAAGATAAGTACTTGTCCGAGAGAAAACTGGAGACAGGCTTGAGCCATGACATCAAGGGCCCCCGGATTGTCCACCAATGGCCGATCGTCCTTCTCTAAGCAGTCCCCGTCGGCGACCGACATTTCCCAAAACAGGCGGCATTTCAATCGCCGCCCCCAACTTTGTCTCCTCGTCGGAGTTCAGGCCGAGCCGTAAATGGGGGTGGGTTTAACCGGGTTAGTTGAATGCGAGGCATTTCGAGGCCACCGCTCCGAACACTTCATCTCCTACCGTCTTTTTCTCTCGTGACTCTCCTTGCTTTCTCCTCATCTCTCTTCCCTCTTTCCTCTCGCGGGTCGCATTCGACAATTGTAACAAAACCAATTGCTACGACCCAAATATCTCTTTTAATAGCAAGATGAGCAAGGTATTCGACGCGGCGGAAGGTTAGTATACCCCGGAATTCCCCATGCAGCGCACAATCGTCATCTCAAGATTGAGTCACAGTCTTGAAACTAACTAAAGACCCTCAGTCGCAAAACACAACACTCCAGAGAGCTGCTGGGTAATACTCTACGGAAAAGTTTACGATGTATGTTCACCCAATCATACATCCTTTTGTGGCTTAACCGAAACTAAACACTCCAACTCAATCAGGTCACCGACTTTCTCTCAGAGCACCCTGGTGGTGCCAAAATAATTCTTAAGCTTGCAGGAAAAGATGCCACAGAGGAATACGACCCTATTCACCCTCCGGGCATTCTGGAGGAGAACCTGAAGCCCGAAGCATTCCTGGGAACGGTAAATGCTGACACGCTGCCGAAAGTACAAGCGGAGCCATCCTCAGATGCGGGGGAGAAGGAAGGCCCGCCTCCGATGGAAAGTCTACTCAACATGGACGATTTCGAGCAAGTGGCCACCAAAAATGTCAGCAAGAAGGCTTGGGCCTACTACTACTCAGCATCTGATGACAAAATCACGAAACATTTCAATACGGAAGTTTACCGATCTATCCTGCTGCGGCCACGGGTATTCATCGACTGCACGCGATGTGACCTGGATACTACAGCTCTGGGCAACAAGATCGGCATGCCCATCTACGTCTCCCCCGCAGCCATGGCTCGCTTGGGCCACCCAGCAGGTGAAGCTGGCATTGCGGAGGCCTGTCGCAGCTTCGGGGCCATGCAGATCATTTCCAACAACGCTTCAATGACCCCAGAGCAGATCGTTCAGGGCGCCGCACCAGACCAAGTGTTTGGATGGCAATTGTATGTCCAAACAGACCGGAAGAAGAGCGAGGCCATGCTGGCACGCATAAACAAGCTCAAGGCGATCAAGTTCATTGTTCTCACTCTGGACGCGCCTGTGCCTGGAAAGAGAGAGGACGATGAGCGCGGCAACACCGTGGGCGCATCAGCACCAGTTCCGAGCGCCGAAAAGGCCGCAGATAAGTCTTCGGAAGATATCAACAACGGAGGGGGAGGTGTCGGACGTCAGCTTTTTGCGGGCACGGATCCAACCCTCACATGGAAGGAGACTCTGCCGTGGTTGGCTAAGCAAACCGATCTACCCATTGTCCTCAAGGGTCTTCAGACTCACGAGGATGCTTACATTGCATCCCTTCACACTCCTCAGGTTAAAGGCATTATCCTTTCCAACCATGGTGGACGTGCCCTCGACACCGCCCCTCCAGCTGTGCACACATTACTCGAAATCCGGAAATATTGCCCGGAGGTTTTTGATAAGTTGGAAGTATGGGTTGACGGCGGCATCCGCCGTGGCACAGACGTTGTCAAGGCACTCTGTCTCGGCGCCAGGGGCGTCGGTATTGGACGCCCTGCTCTGTGGGGCTTAGGAGCCGGTGGTGTTGAGGGTGTCAAGCGCACTCTGCAGAGTACGTATATGGATCTGAGATTCAGATAGGACATCTGCTGACTGGGATATTTAGTTCTGTCCGACGAGACCAAGACATGCATGCGGTTACTCGGTGTTGAGCGTGTGGAGGATCTAGGACCCCAACATGTATGTGCCATTTCGGCCGTATTCCACTTCTTGTTGTCTTTTCATCGCTAACCGACTATGCAACAGATCAACACCCGCCTTGTAGAACAGCAAATCTACGATGGACCGTCAGGGCTGGAAGGTATCCGGAGCACATACCGTGCCAAACTATGAACCGAGCTACGTCTGGGATGCGATTATATATCCTAGCATCTCTGTTCTTTATATATTGCGCACAGAAATAGACACGGCGGTAGCCGGTACTTGCAAGCCTGACTTGACTGTCCTTAGAATGCATATACCGTCTACTGCAAAGACTTTCGTAACAGTAATAACTCGGTAAACGGGTAAACGAGGGAAATATGAAGCTATCTAGTGACTATCAACAAGTGTAGCAAGCTTTTTGATATTTTATATGTTACTGATGATAAAGCAATGATAGTGTCCGGTATTGATACATGAAGGAATGTCCAGTGGCCCAAAAAAGAAATTGTAGTCCGTAAACAGTCAGTATTAGAGTGACCAATGAAACAATCCAATCAGTAACCAGAAACAGAGAAATGTTGAATTCTTCTTGACCATATCAAAACAACCAATTCTTAGACAAAATATAACAAATATGAGGACAAGAAAGGAGGGGGTTTTATGATCTTATAGTACCGAAACATAGGTTCTCCTGTCAACAGCAGAGACTCTAAGACCAGAGGATCAGCATTCTTTCTGTAGAACAATTGAAGCAAATAGGAAGAAACCTTACCAGCAAGATCAACAGTCGAAGAGCCATCACACATATGACTTGAGCGCCTCAACCACCTTATTCTTGTATTCACCCACTCCCCATCTTAGAATGGCGTAAATATTTCTCAGGATCTTATAACAGGCTTCTTCACCATTTGCATGCCATGACCTGACATGTGCAGAACAATATTCGATATTGTCCGTGCTATTCCCTGGAACCATTTTCCGATAATGAACCCAGAGTTGGAATGTTGCGCCCTCCGAAACAAGTGAGAATACCGGAAGATTGGTAACATCAAAGCCCTTCTTGGACTTCGCGCTTTTCGTATCACACCTATTGTCAGAGAGCATCTGAAGCATCCAGAGTGCACCAGCAGCACCGACTGCAGCTCGGTTCTGGGCCTGGTGCAGGTTATCTCCGTTGAAGTCGGCCCGGACTTCCACGATGAAGAATGGAAAGCGCAGATACTGCGGCTTCGCGTATGGATCACTGATCACTCCATCCTTTTCTTTCAAATTCTTCCAGAACTCCTTTGCAGCTGCATCATCCGGGTCTTTGTATAGGATCTCTCGTAGGTGAGACTCGCTCAGCCCAACACAAATGTCAGGTCGAGATCGGTGTTCTGAACTTTGCATGGGCTTTGTCATTATGCCTCTATGCAACTCTTTCTGGGATGTCAGATATGGTGCTAAAGATAATCAAAACTTGGGGAGATTATTATGTCTTACATACCTTTATCTTCAACAGTCCTGAACGCTACCCTGTTCTCTAGGTTCATATGAAGAATAGCATTATGTATGAGCCCTAACCACTCATGTTTCATATTGTTTCTGCGGCTGAGTTCAGCTATTTTTGCCATAAATGCTTCCACTACTTTGCTCTGCTCAACCATTCGGAGCTTTTTGCTACCCAAGACCGTGCTATATGCATATTCTTTGATATCATCCGGTGGCTCAACGTCGACTATAATGCCGGACGGCTCAAGGTCGTCATAGCGCTCGAGGCGTTGATGGAGCTTGAAGGAGACGTCACTGGACAATGAGTCTACCGGGCTCACAGGCTGAGCCTGAAGTGAAGCTGTCGGTTGAGGGACAGCCTCCTCGGACTGGTCAGGCGCCTCAGGAGCTGTCTCCACGATCTTGTGACGTTTGGATGATGAGGGTTTGGATTTGGATTGGTTTCTCTTCTTCTTAGATGGAGCCATGGCTTGTAGGTATTCAGTGAGGTGGTCAGTGTCTAATGATGAGATGCTGGGAGGAAGCAAAAACACGATCACTGGGGTTGGGGTGCAGAAAGGCCCGCCGTTTGACCCAACTACCCAATAAGGTAGGGTACGCCTATTCTTAGAAAAAAAGAATTCTGTCACTGAATAAACCGGAAATGTGCACGGTTTCTCGGTCAAGTCTCCTTGATAGCTTGGCTCATGGTTCAAGGGTGGGGCCAGGTAGGTGAATTGTCTCTCACCGTGCCACCCAATATCACGGCTGATTAGATACATAGAGAACAGAGTTTAGATTCTGAACGATCTACCGATCTCGAAACAGTGACTTCCATACCCCTTCAAACCAGCTCCTGTCCTTTTCCCATGCCTTGGTGACAATATCTCTACCCAGACGAACAGCATCTTCAATCTGCTGCGACGTACCCCAGCCAGGGATTAGGGGTGCCCAGGCAATGAAATGGACGCCAACGTGAATCAATACCCGAAAGGCCGTCTCATCATCCAGTTCCTGGTATCCCTTCATGAAGCCTTGGATAATCCACGTCGCGGCATCGATGTCCTTGAAATGCTTCAGCAGGTAGAGCTCAGCGAACATCTGGCCCAGATCGAGGGCACGAGCACCGCAATGGCAAAGTTCCCAGTCGATGATGAATAGAGGAAGGTGGGACTGTTGTTCGAGGGCCGTTTTGGGAATGAGGACACTATGATTGCATCAGTTTGCTTATCCATTCAATGTATCAAGGCAAAGAAGGCACGGACTTTCCCGACCAAAAATCACCATGGATTATCCCAAACCCATTTCCGTTCTTTCGACTCAGCTCTGCGGCCGCCATTTCCCGAACGTTGCTGAACACATCCCGGGAATCTCCCAGTATAGTGGGATATTTATCAATTGTATTCACCAGAGCATCATAGTTGACCATGAACTTCAAGTCTCTCATATACTGGTTCTTGTCCATCTCGGCCGCAATCCCTGATTGGGCCTCATTTTCAGCCCAGTGATGGAATGATCGTAGCCAGTTCCCTAGTGCACGGCCTATGGATGATGCCCATTCTTGGGTGACGTTGTTGGAAGCGGCCGTGGAGATTAAGAAGGACTTGAGGTCCAGAGAATCTGGAAGATCTTCTATAACAGCAGTGTTTGTTTGGCGGTTGAAGGAGAAGAGACGAGGCGTTTTAACTGTCACTTCCTGAGTTTGCGCGTCAGTATTGTTGCTGCTGCTCTGTTTGCTAGGCAGCCCATCGAGGGCCTTCAAGATGGATTCTTCGAAAAGCTATATGACATATATCAACACGATGTTTGTAGTATGTTTGACTTCACACGAGGGATCCTAACACAGCGTTCAGCCGGGAGTTTGAATTCCCGATTAAGGGCAATGAATGCCTCTGTATGCTTCACTATAACGGATATTGTTCCATCTTGGAGCGGTTGATTGAGCTGAGCCCGATAGACAAAGTTGGCGGTTCCCCCGCTTAGTGGGGTTAGAGAGGACGAGGCATACTGAGTCCCGGCGAGTTCTTGGGATACGATGTTGAGGAGGTCTTTGTCGGACATGTTGCTTTATTCTTAGGATCTCTTGAAGCTCGAATTTGGCCTTGTGTATTGTGTATTTGGGTTTTATAGCTAGCTAATAATTATATGGTGAAAGAGGGTTGTTCTGCTGAGTCATGATGTCGGGGTCCCTTTTGGGATACGATGTTGCATCGTCTGAATTCTAGAATCTAAAACTCCCCACAATCTGAGACCACCATCAATCTCCCTAACATCAGGACATTAACCCCTTAGTTAGAGAAAACGGTAATGGCACAAGTCGCTTTCATGCAGTCACGCATTGGCTTGCCCATAATGTGGGACGAGCTATCGCAACTACCTCCGGTTCAAGTGTGCAGGGGATCAACAATAACCACCCAGGTATACTGCATCGAATTGAACGTTATCAATGGAATCAGAACTATACACTCGCTGAGTCTGGAACATGGTCAAACGTGTCAAATCAAAAGATCATGTCAATTCCTCAATTGAGCATTTCCCGACTCGAAACCTTACCATACTCCATCTCTACCATGCGTGCTTCTGCCTACTGTGGGCTACGCTTACAGACGGACAACCTATCATCAACTGGCTATCTACGAGCCACATCCATAAAATTGACAGTGGGCGGAATATGACTATCATTATCTACATGCTATAGCCTCCTCTAACCCTGAAGAAACCTGTTCATACATACAGACGAAACCTGGCTACAGGACGTTAATTGAAAGCTTAAGATGCCATCATCTGCGCGTAAGTTTAATTGAGATTTTATCTTCAAACGAATAGGTTTTCGAGTTTTGTTCACTCCACGGCGTTATCATATATATGATCTCAAGGACCCATCCCTTCACAACCCTCGGTGTGATTCTTCGGCATACAAAATGACCGCCAGAACTCATACTCCGTCGTTCCAGCCTTATACCCTCACGCCTCTAGATCACCTGCTCCCTCCTCATCATGTGTTCGCTTATATGTCTTTTCGACCTGAACAGCCGTCTGAAGCAGTTGATGCGTTAGATACGGGCCTATCAGACTTGATATCCCAGTGGCCATTCTTGGCCGGCAATGTTGCCAGAGTGGAGAAGGAGAACAGAAGAAACGTCAGAGAGTTGCAGCCACCGACAACATCGGACCTCCTCCGATTCCCCTTGTTACGTGTCAATCACCATCAACACACCATTTCAGATGCTTTAGCCTCGCCAGTCATCGATTATGAAATGCTAAACGTTCCGAAGACACTCTTGGATTCCAACCCCATACCTGCTGTGCGGTTCCAGGCCAATGTCATGCAAGACGGCCTCATTCTATGCCTCGCTTGGAATCATCAGGTAATGGATTCGCTAGGCGTCACCATAGTTTTGCACGCTCTAGCTCGATCTTGCTCTGGACGGGATCGAAAGAGCGCCGATGCCAGACGTCTTCCGATGGACCACGATAAAGAAGAGCAGGCAAGGAGGAGGATAAACCAAGCTGCCACCACCAGCAACCCCGACCTCAAGGATGCATACTGTGAGACTAGCTATGAGGAAATACGTGGACGACAGCCCGACTCAATCATCTGTCGTCGTTATACTTTGCATATAGACAGAGTCAACTACCTCAAAGATTCGTGCAACGATCTTGCCCATGAGCTTGCCAAGGGCCATTCGACGTCACAGAAAGTCTCATCAACAGAAAGCAGGTACAAACCAGAAAACATCTCAAGTGATGACCTGGTAACTGCCCTAGCATGGCTCTCTGTATCCCGCGCTCGTCGTCGACATGCTTCTAAGCATTCGTCAGACTTGCCGCGCGTATCCTCTTTATCCAGAAATATAGAGGTTCGCTCAGTACTCCAGCCTCCTCTTCCAAGAAGCTACTTGGGCAATAGCCTCGTGTTGGCGAAATCCCAGTGCGAGTGGAAAGATATTTCTACTCCACGGGAAGCCCCGCCCGTAACCCGAAAGCAAATGGACAAAGAAACACTCAACGCATTGCTCAAACTAGCCCTGATGTCTCGAGCCAAATGCAAGTCGCTTCAAGACCAGCAGATCCGTGGCCTCATAGGCCGTGTGGAAGAGTGCGATGACTTCTCATCCGTTTCTGGTGCCCCTGCGGAGGTCATTATGTCCAGCCTGCGGAAAACTGACATATATGCCTCGGACTGGGGTACGAACCTGGGGCCACTGTTAGACTTTGATACTATCGACGGTCGAACTGATGGGTTGACTTTAATTCTACCCGATAGAAATCCTGCCAGGAGAGGAGAGAGCAACTGGGAAGTCCGCGTGAACCTACCTGTGGAAGTTATGGAGGAGTTTGGGAAAGATGAGCTGCTTCTTTGGGTCACAGAGGGAGGAAAGCCAGGAGCCAGGCTGTAACATTACAGTTTGTTGTAGATGTCTGCTACTCTGGTCGACAACATGTAGCATCTTCTGAGCTATGATCGATATAATTTGAGGTAAAGTAGGTCAATGATCAACCTTGTTGTTGAACTTGAAAAAGAAAAGTCTCAATACATTAGATTATAGTAGTAACAAGAGCTGTCCATCTCAAGTAGCTGTTTGATTGTGTTCTACATTATTTTTAATTCCGAAAAAAAAAAAAAAAAAAAAAAAAAAAGAAAGTAAAAAAAGTACATTTCAACAATTATTATGATCCAGGATGCAAAAGTTCTAATCAACAGGAATGGAGTAGCCGCTATATACATCACTTAGAAAAATATATCCGCTATCCGTCACGAAAGAGACAAAAGGTTCCCGTCTTCCTAATTCTAATTTACATCTAAGACGAAGTCTGAACAGCAAAAGTGCCATTCAACTTCAAATCACGCGAGCTTGCACCCACGTAGACCTTGTAGTCACCCGAAGCAACAAGCCACTGCTGGGCGCTAACATCCCAGTACGAGATATCACGGCGGCGCAGCTTGAAAGTAACCTCGCTCTGCTTGCCAGCAGCGATCTCGACGCGTTCAAAGCCACGGAGCTGGCGAACGGGTTGCTTCGCAGCAGTAGGGAACCCGAGGTAGAGCTGGGGGACTTCGGCGCCGTCGAGCGAGCCGGTGTTGGCGACCTTGACGGAGACGCTTCCCACAATATCCCAGAGGTCGCTGTGTCCTCCGACGGTCTGTTCACCGGTGGGGTACTTGGACAGTGTGGAGGGCTTTTCGATGCTCAGGTCGGAGTAGGAGAAGGTGGTGTAGGAGAGACCGTGGCCGAAGGGGTATCTGGGGGTGACGTTGTAGGCGTCGAAGTAGCGGTAGTCGAGGTAGACACCTATGAAGGTTATATGTTGTAAGTACGTGCGAGGGTGTGGGGGAGATTGGTGTGTTAAGGCTGCTTACCTTCGGTGAAGTTACACTGCGCTGTGTAGCAGATCTTGACGTTGTAGTCGCTCTCGTTCTTGGCGATGGTGTGGATGAGGCGGCCAGAGGGGTTCACGTCTCCGTAGAGGACATCGACAATGGAGTTGCCAGATTCCTGGCCCAAGAGGGATCCGTAGAGAACAGCAGTAACGTTGTCATGTTCGATCCATTGGTCCATCAGGCGCGGGCCGACGGTGTTGATGATGACGATGGTGTTGTTGCAGTTGTCGGCGACGGTGTTGACCATGGTGTCTTGGTCGTCATTGTAGAGCTCAGTGCGATCAGCGCCTTCTCCGGAAAGGGCATTCAGGAAGACGAGGCAGGTATCGGAGTTCGTGGCATAGTTGGCATACGAGGGGTCCACAGCGGTACTGTCAGTCCCCTCTGTGATCAAGCCGGAAGTTTTAGAAGAGGTATAGGTATCGTTGAGCACCCACCGCATCATGGTTCCATCCTCAAGGATTCTGTTAGTCAGTGCAACGTAAGGTGGCACTAGGTAAGGCAAGGATGCTTGAGCAGAACCGGTGCCGGTGGCCAAGTGACCCTGGTACGTCGGTCCCGAACCCTCGATGTCCATGGCCGTGTTGGGTCCTCCCACCACAAGACCAGCGTGGGCACCGAAAACGCTCATTACACGAGGCTTCTTCAATGGCAGAGCGTTCTTGTTCTTCAGCAGGGCCATCGACTTGGCTCCATTTTCCCGGATCAGCTTGGAGTGGTTGCGTCTCACATCGACGTACGCATCTTCACTTTGTTCCTCGGGTTGGAGCCCATTGTCCAGGTTGACATAGTAGTAACCCATCAGATTGCGGATGGCCATATCGTCCAAGCGAGCCTCACTCAGAGAGCCATTGGACAACAGAGCCTCCATGGTAGAAGTGCTCCAGATACTACTGGAACCGTAATCCTCGCCGCCGAGAGCAGACTCCAAAGCACTGCTCTGGCCATTAGTGTCAGGCCACACCAATCCCGGGAAGCCAAGCTCTGTCTTCAAATTCTTCATCAACAAATCGGAGTTCTGACAGCTTAGTGTGCCATTAACCTTCGTCATGGCACACATCACAGCACCCAGACCATGTTTGACTGCGTCATAGAAAGGCCAAAGATACGTCTCGTGCAGAGTCTTGTCATCGGCATTGGAAGAGTATGGTGCCGAGCCGCTATCCGACTCAGAACTGGAACTGGCAGCACGACGGCCCATTGATCCTGTAGGCTTCGCGCCCATGGATGAAGTATTCGACGAGCCGGGCCCCATTCCTCCGGAAGGCATACCGCCGCCGCCAGGACCACCACCGCCGCCGCTGCCAGTCCGATTTGTTTCCTGTTCGTAGAGAAGGAAGTGCTGTGCAGTAGTGCAACTTATGTCAGTCAAAGAACAGCAGCATCTTAGGGAGACAGCATCTACTACGTACCTTAGCACCTGGGATAACGCCAGCGTCGATGTAAGCTTTTGTTGTTAACCCAGTGGCTAAGCCATTGAGATAAGGGTCGGGGCCAAAACCCTCAACAATACGGCCACCCCAGGGCGTACGTCCCAATGGCTGAGAGGTCGGGCCAGAGACAACTTGGATTCCCTTTTTGTAAAACTCAGAACCGACAGCTTTGCCCTGTGCGTAGATGGCGTCGCGGTCCCAGGTCATAGCAACTGCTGAAGACAAGCTGAAAGCGGATACATAGT